TATAGCTAATAAACATCTATATATAAATGTTTTAAACATTTGTTTCCTCCAGAATCAAAAGTGTGGAGAAAACTAATCAATGCATGTTCGAGAGCAAATTCTCCTCTATCGAATTGATTATTTCCTTATTTTATACCATTTGATTTTTCAAATTTAATTCTGAATCTTTTTTTTCATCCGCTTTTCTTTCTTTGTTTATCCCATACGATCATACAGACATAACATGAGTATTGAACAGTTTATCTATTTCCTATAGATTCTGGTGTAGTTTTACATGTTGAATCTGAATATATTAATAGATTTTTAATCTAAGCAAATACTATAGTTCTATCAATTTTATATCAAGAAAGATACGTTTTTTTATGCATAATAGTCATCAAAACAAAATATCTATCTATATTATGTCACCTATATGTTCATCAAAATCGAATCGAATACTGCACAATTTTATACCAAAATGTTCAGCGCAACAAACTGTATAAGCTCTGAAAGTTTCAGTGAATTTCGAGATGGTCATCGAATTGAATGATTCGATCTCACAAATTTTGTCATGAAAATTTAGTGAAAATTTCGATAACAAAATAGTTTTTGACCTTGTTCTCTCCAAAATCACAGAAGGGAAGAAAACTAATTAGTACATCTTGTAGAGCAAGTTTTGCTCTATCGAACTGGTAATACCACCATTCTCCAGAATTCGGGTTTTCTAATTGACTTTTTTCAATACTTTTTTTCGTTGACATTTTGTCCTAGTGAACATATATATCAAAAAAAATCATAGAAAATTTTTTCAATTCATAAGGATTCTGATGCAGTTTTTCACGAGGAATCTGAATCTGTAATTGGTTTTAAAATTTGAGCGACTAATGATGAGTTATCATCGGTTTTTCGATAAGCTATCGCTTCGTTTTTTTGCATAAAAATGCAGAGTGCATAAAAAGGCATTAACAGTATTTAGCCTATATCTTTGCGAAAACACAGTCGAACCCTAACAAATTTATTACCAAAATGATCAGCGCAAAAAGTTCTACAAACTCTGAAAGTTTCAATCGATTTGAAGGTGGTCACCGGATGGTCCTGGCGAGACCCTATGGATACACCCAAATATGAAACATATGTATATATCTAATGCTTCTCACCACCTCTTTCCATTCATCAAAAAACAAATTAAAGAATCTGCTGAAACTTTGAGCTTTAATCATGCTATAATACTGCTAACATCTTAAAACTACAGGGTGGCGCAAAAGTCACTTTACCCAACAACAAAAAATTGAATGTTTTCATTACGGCTTGGCCAAACGGGCTCATTTGTTTTATCGAGGATGGAGGCATATTCACGTTCCAAATCCATACGAACAAGGTTAGTGAAAAATCTTTGTTAAATATCACTATTGACCTCAACAACAAAATTTTACTTGTTCTTACATAAGAAAAGAAAACAATATACTTAACAAAGATTTTCACTAACCTTGTTCGTATGGATTTGGAACGTGAATATGCCTCCATTCTTCATAAAAAGATGAGCCCGTTTGGTCGAGCCGTAATGGAGATATTCAATTTTCTCTTGTTGGGTAAAGTGACTTTTGCGCCATCCTGTATAATATCATGGTCAGTACACAGCAGCAGCAGCTAACGTTTCAAATTTATAAGTTTGATAGTGAGACCTTCACTTTGACTCGACCATGTTCCATTTCCTTAACTGACGATATAAGGGTCTCTGCTAAAAGTGATAATTTGTGTCACCTGTACTTTTATAATTGTTTTGCCGTGTTGGTGAAGAAAAAAATTCAAGTTTTGCATATCGAGCTTAATCTGTAGACAATCTTTTTTAAAAAACCAAAACTTGTTAAGTTACTTCGTTGAAACTTTGATTTTCATAATCAGCTTTTCGATCACACTTCTTTGGAACTAGGGGTGTTACTTTATTTTTATGTTTCGTTATAATAAAGAATAAAGTAAAGACAGTCTTTATCTTTATTTTATAAAGAATAAAGATAATCTTTACTTTAAAAATAAAGATAAAGTAAATCTTTATATTTATAAAATAAAGATAAAGATAATCTTTATTTTTGAAAATAAAGTTAGAATAAATAATAAAGAATGATTTTTGTAAGTTACAATAATATAAGTAAATCACTGTCATTAACAACAGACGACATCAATTAAAAAATATTTTGTACTGTAGAAATATTTTTTGTCCAAAACAAATCATAATAGAAAATTATTGAAGTGTCGAAAAAAAGGTTATAATTTTATTAAGTCTTAGAATGGGTGAACGATTGATGGAAGCTTTATATGCTATCGATATTATTCTTATGAGACTGACTCTTATATCAATATTCGTTTGTGATGTTCTTTAAGACTTTTAAAATACGTACTATACATTGTTGTTTACTCTTCGTGAAAAAAAATAATACAAATCATATAGATATCACTGCATTCGTATGTTGACAAGACGTGAAGAAAAATGTCTTCTAAGTATTCTCTATTTTGTTTAGTGATATTTCTGTTTTTGAAAAGATGTAAAACAAAATAGTGTTATTTTTTATGAAGCAACTTTTCGTTTTGCTAGTTTATTAATAAAATTTTTTTTTATTCAACGATAAACCGTTGACTATCACGAATATAAGGAAAGAAAGTGTTTTAAATGTATATGTTCTTATAGATCATTTTATTGTTTTAATAACATCAGATATCGTAAGGTGGTTGTTGATAATGATGCTCGTTGTTTTCTGTCAATATAGCCTGCAACTGAAAAAGCTGATTCAGAAGCAGCTGATGTTGATGGTGCACAATTATATCGACGTGCATAAGGCGCTAAAATTGGAAGACGAGTTCTATTTTCGTCCCAATATGTTTGAAAATCTTTGAAAGATGTACTTGTGGACATAAGTAAACTAAATTCTTGTTTTAAAGTAAATGGTTTTGCTTTTTGTTGTGGTTTTGGCGCAGTTTCAGCATCAGCTGACGACGAACGACATAACATTCGAAATCGATTAATTGTTGATAATTTTGATAGTTTGGATAAATTGTTTGATGAAGATGATGATGATCCTGATTGTGATTGTACATGTTCTGATGAAATACTTGTTGTTGTTTTTTTTTAAATTGGAAATATCTTTTGTAAAATGCATCAACATTGATTCAGCTTCATTTATTTCTTCAACTGATAAATCTGAAAGTGTGAACGGATCTAGATATGCAGCAACCTGCAATAAAGAAATAAAAATGTTTTACTCAATTTAAATGGACTTTTTCCAATTATTTCGCACAAAACCATAGAGGTGAGAGAGTTGTTGTTATTGTTTTGTTATTAATATAAAAAAAAGCAATAACAATAACTTTCTCCCTCGTACAAAACCAAAACATTAGAATGTCATTTTATAGATGAATCTAAATAAAATGTTGTCAGTATATTTTAGCAAGGTGCTTTGCTTTTATCTTTAAGTGTGGATCATTGATGAAAACCGTTGATAGTTACACATTATGTTACTTTAGACATTTTATACATTGTCTATTCCATGTATTTCGAAAAATTTGCATATTAAATAAAATATTGTTCATTTGTCTATACTTACTAATTTAGCACATCGTTGTTCATGTGTAACATTTGTTTTAAAATAGAAATTGAATTTATCCAGTAATAAATTTTTTAACCCATTTTCAAAATGACAATTAGGTTTTTCGTTTGTTAAATGAAAATATAAATTATTAATTGTTCAATAAGATAATGATAATGTTGGATACTGACGACCAGATAAACATTTCGTAGCAAAATAAAATGGAGCTAAAACATTGGATAATGATTCTATTAACTCCCATTCAAATTGATTGATTTGTGATGAACGTATTTTTTTAATTTGTTTGATTGTTAAACCAACATGAGATTGAGGTGAATAAATGATGTCATTTACAATCTGTTGACCTGCCCATAAACGGGCCAACATAATACAAGTAGAATTCCACCTAATGTAAAAGTCATTTATCAAATCACTTGCTCTGGTCTTTTCTTCATTACCATCAGGATTAATTGCTGTATCAAGGTCAATTTGTTGTCGTTTTATTTCATTACGAACAAATGTTGTCAATAGACTTGATTTAGTTATCATTTTGATTAATTTACGAATTTTTTTAAATAAATTGGAAATTCTTTTTTTAAATTTGTCAGGATTTAATAATAATTGTTCTACTTCTTCTTGGTCTTCTTCTTCTTCTATTCGACTATCTTTTTGTGATTGTGTTAATGTTGTATTATTATCATCATCAGAAATATCTGAACAACTATCAGTTTCATCTAGATCACCTAATGTTGGTATATAATCACTATCACCATCATCTTCGTCATTTAGATAATTTTCATCGTGATTAACCCATTCGTCAACAATCACATCGATATCGACAAGACGTGATCTTTCTGTATCATCATCAGAATCATGAATATGTTCATTAAGTGCTGTTATTTTTGATGTTGCTGATGATGATGGTGATGTTGCTGTTGCTATTGTTATTTCACCTTTTTTACTAAATACAAAATAAATACGAATATATTAAATATAATAAATCATCTAGAAGAAGTCTGACGATGATGAAACAAAAAACTGAGAACATAATAACTATAATGCAATAAGAAAAATGGACTCATTCAAATATATTATATGAGTTATATTTCTCGAAGTTCATTGATGATGAAGTAATCAGTATTGAATTACCCTATTTTATTCAAAATATGATCTTGATTTACCTTTTCGATGTTGTTTTTTTCCATAAATCTAAACCAGTTGATATTGTTCTATTAATATTATGAGCATCGCAAGAAAATCTTATTCCGAATTCTTGTGATGATGTTGCGGATTTGATATCACTACCATTATCGATTGTAATAGAAAAAATTTTTGTTTCGATTTCTAATTTTTTAATTTCACGAATAATAAATTTTTTTAATCGAGCACTCAAGTGCCGACCTCGAAAAGATCGAAAGGAAATAACATCTGAAAATGTTTCATAATGTTCATTATAATAATGAGCAGTAATTACTAAGAAATGATGTCGTCCAGAATTCATCCAAAGATCTGTTGTTAAAGATATAAATGGAACTGTTTTAAACTTTTCTTTTAATGAAGATCTTCGTTCTTGGTACATTTTATCTAAATGTTTACGAATGGTTTGTCTGGATGGTCCACGATAACCTGGTTTAATTATATCAAGAAAATGTTGCATTCCAGGACGTCGAAATGTTCCAAATGGTAAACCATCCTTTACTATGCATTTAATTGCAGCTGTATCAAGTTCTTTTTTCACATGTGGTAAAATAGAAGCTTTCTTTTCAAGATTTTCACGTTGTTTTATTTGAGATGAATATAAGTAGCAATAAAAACCATGTTTAAATCCAAGATGGCTTCTTAAGTTTGTATCCGAAAATGGATTATATTTATATTCCTAAACGAGAAACAACAGATAGAAAATGAAGTAAAAGTTAAAAAAAAATTATAAGAGACTAATTCAATTTTCCTTTATATGATCCTCAAAATACCTCTTTACTTTTTACTCAAAAAGATCAATTAGGTTTATTCAAACTGTAAAGCGCTTTACGTCTGAGTTTTTAAGTAAAAATTAAGAAAAAAAATTTTCTTACACGTGAACAAATGGTACATTTGACTCTATCAGTACCATTAACAGGTGTAAAATATTCAATTGGTTGCTTTTGTAAGTTTTTATTATTATTGAAATCTTCAACAATAATAGTATCAGCACTAGCACTTGATGTATTAAGAGGATTTTCTTCTTCATCTTCATAATTTTTGGATGAACTTGAATTATGAATATCATTGGTATTTGAACATTCCATGCCTGTTTGTAAATCAATATCATTTTCTTTTTGTTTTTTTCTTACTTGTGGTGTTCCTGTAGATGATTTTCTTGAACTACGAGAAACACCTTTTTTTGAAATTCCACCATGAATGCTAGGCCGACGTCGTAGGCTTGAAATTTCCTGTGAATTAATTCGAGCTGAACTTCTGCGACCTAATATCACCATATCAGGATTATCAGATGATGACGATAATATATCATTAGTGGTATTATTATTCATTCTTTTTTTTTCGAATATAATTAGTATGTTCGTTGAAATGTGTTTAAATGTATTTTAGCTCGTTTACAAATATTTATATGTATTCGATATCACCCTCGAAAGTAGACGCAACGGTTTTTCTGTATGTTTTGTCCTTTCATTAATGGACGCCTGGCAATTACAATCATTAAGCGTATACATTAAGTTTTTTCTGTCTGTCTCTCCTTCTTTCCCTCCTCTCTTCTACCCTCTCTCTTTCCCTCGCTGTCTCTCTCCTCATTTATCTGAAATGTACTTAATGCACTCGGAAAAATGATTTCATACTATATTTTTCTCATTTTCTTTCTCACATTGTGATCAATTATGTGTTAAATATCTCAGATGAATGTTATAAGTGTTTCTTTATGCATGTTTGCAAAACAGAAAATAAAGTTACTCATATTAAAATACTGTAGTTAAGAAGTTAAGGATACATTTCACATATAAGGATGACGAAAATTCAAGGCAAATATATATATGTATCGCATTGAGCAACATTATATCTATTGCCTATGATTTAAATAAACGCTAAAATTTTCATTCAATTTTAAGTTGACAAAGTGACAAAGTGAGTTCGAAGCCAGACTTATGCAACAGGGCTCAGATGAGAAGAAATATATACTTTTTTTTATGTGATATACACCATTGTTGATATCTGATTAAGGGTAATCTAAATATTCAGGACGCTAAAGCTTGTCATCTGATGATAGATTTCATCATTCTTCTTTTATATAGTCGAATCCGAAAAACTAATTGATACAAATAATCCTATGAAATAACTTTTAGTTAATATATAAAGCTCCCGACACATTAGAAGATCCGAGGTCTTTCATTCTGTCTTACCGTTTACAAGTTAAAAGGATGGTCTTCTATTATGTCCCTGAAAAAAGTCATCTTTTTTTGCAGCTTTGCCAAAAAACCTTACCTTTATTTGATTTTTCTCCCTAATATCATTAATAAATGAGTTTATTTTACTTGTTTCTCTTGTGCAGGGTAAGAATATTTGCAAATTAAGCTGGTAAAGAGTAGTAAAATGATTTCACGAGATATTGTTAACAAAGAAAAACAATCTTTAATAGATAGATCTTTTCTATAAACTACTTCGCAAGCTTTCAAATTTTGTTATAAAAATGAAAGGAAAACGTTTTCGTATTGAATTTTGAGATAATTGTGACCTTAAATAATAATAAACTCAATAAAATCTGGGAACTATTTTAAAATATCGGTTTTTTAAGCGGTTGGGGAAGGGGGGGGGCGTCTTCTAATATGTCTTTTGTGTCATTGATTCAAGAGGGGTCTTCTATTATGGAGGGGGGGGGGGGGTTCTTCTAATATAGGGAGGTCTTCTAATGTGTCGGGGGTTTTATATATATATTATTGTAATAATATGATTTATTTATTTTGATAAAATTTCCAAAAAAATTATTTTTTATTCTTTATTTTAACTTTATTTTCAAAAATAAAGATTATCTTTATCTTTATTTTATAAATATAAAGATTTACTTTATCTTTATTTTTAAAAAAATAAAGATTTCTATATTTCTTTAACTTTATTTTTTAAAATAAAGATTATATTTATTCTTTATAAAATAAAGATAAAGTAAGTTTTTACCTTTATTTATAAAGTAAAGATAAAGTAACACCCCTATTTGCAACACCACTCACGGTTTAACTCACGAGTTTATGTTTATTTTCTAAAAAGATCATTTATAATCTACGATTCAGTTGAGTTACATTTAGCTGTTTACGATGAATCATCCAATCTATGACAGAAGAATTCATGATGAAAAATATCAAACAAAACATTTTATTATACAGAATCATTTCTGTCCTAAATTTTATGGTCTTTCTGATAAATCTGTCATAAATTGCAATTCAACGTTTAGCGAATCTTAGTTGAGCATTCTCAACAATCTTTATAAAAAAAATAATCCTTCTTTGCCGAAAAGGTTCTTTCTCTCGCGGAAAAATTAGAGATATAACGATACTAGTACAGTAACATGAAAGCGGGTCAATACAAGTTTCATACAGTCCCCATAGTTCAGTACTATACTGTCGCTGGAACAAGCGTCATTATAAGGTTTTAAAGGATCCTTATAGGTTTCTAGAGATTTCTGAAGATTTCCAAAGATTTCAGGGGTTAAAATCTGCTTTTTCCCCTTAGGGTATGGGTGTGAATGTGGGTGTGGGTGTGGGGTGGGTGTCGGTATCGGTGTAGATGAAGGCAGAACCAACACCCGCACCACATCCACACCCGCACCCACACTCCACCCACCCACACACCCACACCCACACCCACACCCCATCCACACCCCACACACCCACACACCCACACCCACCAACACGCACACACCTACCCACACCCACATCCCACACATACCCACACGCACACCCCAGATCCTTATTTCAGTGGAAGTTTAAACAACATGACCATATGCATGACAGCATGCAGAACATGGAGAAATCGATATAGAAAATTGCTCGTCTATCGTTGTGTATAGCGATACTGACAGAGCAACTCAACGAACGTTGAGAAGTCATTTCTGTATTCGTTTATGAAAAAAAATTGTAAGTTCTCTGACGTTGTCGTTTGATGGTTCAACTTGATTCAGTGTTTGACTTCTTTTATGCCTGCATATTTTTCTCTTACATGTCCTATTCTTATCGACGCGGCGAGGAGCAATAAAAAAAATCTAGGAAGAAGAGAAAGAAAAAAAGGTAAAAAATGAAT